TTTCATATTTAATATATGAAGTAAGTTCAATTTTTTGCTTTGTTCATTTCAAAACAGTCACTTTACAAATCAAAGAAACAACACACCGGACTACGATAAGCTGTCTTCACAGGGACGGATTATATTCACATTGGACGGTTTTATGAATAACAGTAGTTTATCCCATCACTTAACATGCTTTCAGTATTAACATTTTAAATTAAGCCACAAGTTGTCACTTTTGTTTAAGGAGGGGCCTGTTACAAAAATCTCAATTACAATGACAGATTTATTTTTGTAGCACGAAAAATTGGTTTACTGCAGTATAAACGTCTGTCTTAATTTACTTTATTAAAACCTTAAAAAGATACATTCGATCATATTAAAAAAAGAAAATATGCAGTTTAAATAAACCCATAGATATTATATGAGTAATTGACAATATTTTCTTTTAACGTAACACATGTCACCCTTATATATTTGATTCATTTTTGCATAATTGATATTTTTGCATAATTTACAAGTTCTTTTATAGGTTAGATACATATAATAGCAATATTGTTTATAATTAATCTTCTGAAAAGAAAACAACTCAATAGCTTCAATTCTTAATCGGTTTTGAATCGTACTTAAAGGATAATAATAACAATAAAGTACTGTACACCATGCTCTAATATAATCACCTCTCGTTTGTTTGAGCGTGGTCATAGTTCAGGACGGATGATATCACATCATTGCTAAATTGTAGCAACATTTTAACACACAATTTGGAATAATAACGGATAAGATTTCAAGCACATTACTAATATGAATAACTGAAATTTTCAAATATTTCAGAGGATAACTCTTTGAATTCACAACTCTGTTTTGCTTTGCTTAATTTCATTTTAGAAGAGTCTCAACTCTATATATGATCTAAACTCAAAACGTCTTCGATCAAACATGTGCTCTAATTTCCTCCTGTCTTTACCCATTACTTTATAGTTGATAACATTTAAGGTGTAAAATTTACGACAAGTGCTCAAAAGTAATTTATTTATACAAACTTTACAAAGTTATATGAATACTTTCATTTTTAGAAAGATAGTCAAATCTTGGAAGGAAGATGTCATGTTTACTTCTTTGAAATAATATTTGTCAAAAAGAAAGTCAAAGATAATAATTGTACTTAAAAACTGGGCTTGATCAGTGTGGAATTAAACAAGGTTTCGTTTTTTAAATATAAATGTTGCTTCATATTATAGTATATGCTATTTTTAAGGTAGACCTATAGAAAAAATTGAGACATATATAAAACATTCGCTTGATTTTATAAGGATAAAAGTGTAATGTGTAAAAAGGAATGCGCGGATAATTATGTAAAAGAGCTGCTAATAATATTTTATCATAAATAATTTAACTATATAGATGAGAACTAAAAATCAGCTTATAAATTAATGTAGCCAAATCTATATAACAAACTGAGTAGACGTACATAATGTCATAAATCAATAAAACCTAAAGGAAACTTTTAGTAAAAAAAAAGTTCGATAATTTTAAGAGTGAGTTTTACGTTAAATAATATTATCCTGCAGTAATAGTTTATATTATTCATACTGACTTCAACAGAAGTAAATACGAATTAATAAAAAGTTCCTCACCAAAGCAAACAATTAAAGAAACTAACAACTAAATTTCTCATTATTTAGTTAAGTTGCCATTATTAAATCCATCAAGTGCTGAAAAATCTGGTATGAAAAGTTTTCTAGATGTAATTTTTCTCACAACAATTGTTGAGACATTTATACCCGAAGTGAATCCAAATGCTATAAAATTGGAGAACAGAAAAAATTGTACATTTTAAAAAAAATACGCTTCCTTATTATTGATAACTTGAAATTTGACAGTGCATTAACTAGATCAGATCGTTTGACTGGTAATACATCTTTCTCAATAGAATATTCTAGACAAAATTTTAACGAAATAATTCATAAGGCTACGCATATGAGATTTAGATTTCATGAGCTATTGTCCTCCGTAAACTATTTTCACAAGCGAAACTTTCTATGAACCTATAATCTGTATTTTATAGAACTTGTTTGTGAGTACATGTAACTGAACTAAAATTCTATATAAGTTCACATTTTGAAAAGTGTTTGAATACAACTGATAACAATCATTGGCGAATTTCTTTTCTAAAGTTTAAACTACAGCGTGTTAAAACTTGTTGATTTGACTGATTTACAAAACAATACTTTCAAGGACGATTCAAAGTGCAGACCAAAATCACACTCTTTTGATATATTAACAATGCAGGAAACAAAGTGTACATAAAAACAATATGAAACTTTGGTACATACAGTGAGCTTCTGAGGAACAGAAACGGAAATGCAACGCTTCTAATGCACTCTGTTAAATTTTGTTGCTATATAAAATATATATCTGATGTTGCAATATTTATGATTGATACATGACATGATATTCTGGAAAACATAGTTTATATGCTTATCTGTAGATATTATGCGTCCCTATTGAAAATCACACGAACTTCGTTGTTCGCTGCTGACAGAGTTGTAAAATTGATAATCAACAATCATTAAGGTGCTTTAAAGTCCCTTTTCACACACTGTTTTCCCAAGTAAATGAAAATTAAACAGTGTTGGATTTCTTATTTTTGACGTTGGTTTCATTTTTCCAAGCAGCCCATGAATTAAGTGACTAACTGAATCCTTTTTTTCCTGACCGTCAAATCATTTTCATTTACGTAGAACCGCCTTGCCTTATTTATCTGGTATTCGATCGATCCTTGTTTCCCAGAATATTCTGGCTCAAACCAGATAGGCTTTATAGTCGCTTGTTTCAAAAGAATGTAAAAATTAAGCTTTAAAAAGTAGAATTTTTTAACACACACACATATATATATATACATGTTGTGTATATATTGCATTTTAAGTATTGATTTTTGAGGATCTATTTTTTCTACTTTGATAAAATTATACCTACTACTTAATTCATTGTCTCAGTATAAACTTCAGTGATATTTCCTTTACATAATTCACATTTCACTACTTGAGACTTGCGTTATATTCAGCAATGAATTTAATATCCGATCAAAGCAATTCACATGTAGGATAAAAGAGGCTTATTTGTTATTCGTTTCAAATGGGATAAAGAAAGAACACTTAAAATAAACTTAAATAGGAATGTGACGACGTGATTCCCTATACTTTCTTCATCCATAAACTAAAAATAATAATGTGTACACAAGTAGTTTTAACTGGCTTTTAACTGATAATTTTTTGCCGAAAGCGAGCAAATTAATTCACCAATCTGTTCTAATTTGTTTATTATAAATATAAAAAAAAGAAACATTAAATGTTACGTACACCATTTCTTATATTCTTGAATTACTTTCAAATATTTTGTTTTCACTGGTTTGAAAAGTTTCAAATAAACAAACTTGTGCATTTCAAAATTCTTAGACACCAGCGAACTTCCAGCTGTTACGGTATCAATGGGGAAAGGTTAATGTTTTTTTTATTTGAATGGAAAAGTCAAAATATTCATCACAAAGAAGCAGTTAAGCTGAAACAATATATATATATGTGTGTATATATATTACGTTTTTAATGCCTTTCTTAATTGGAGTTAGGCACATGTTATGAATAGATATGTTATTGTGCTGGACGCATCTGTATGTCTATCAATTGGAACCTTTGCGATGACCCTTTAAGTTTCTCATAAAATGTTAACGTACAGGTAGTGTAAAGGTTTTTCTCAATCGATTCTTCATTTACACTTTCTTTGTTTACGATTATTCAGTTCTTCAGTGCGTAATAATCTAATTTAAAATCCTTAACAAATATTGGTATAAGAAATCTAAAACAAGAAAACACGTGACTAGAACAAACGTGATTGGTATAAGTTTGAGAGTTGCTCGATAAATGATGTTTTTCACATTAGCAATTGATAGTTGCATTTTCAGTGGCGATATTAACAGATTTAGAATTTGCAATTGTTTTTGTATGTTATATAATGTTACCCTAAGTCGTTTGTACGAAACACTTTAGGATACTGATGTTTCTGTTGTTAAACACAAGACTAAACGATGGACTATCTGAGCTGTGTCCATTACCGTTTCTGTGTCCATTTTAGCGTTATAAACCCTTAGATTTACCACTCAACCAATGGTGAGCTTTAGAAATTGAATTCCTAAAGCGCGTAGATACGTTTTATGTTTTTTCAATAATATATTAATTTATCTTTGCACAGTATGTTAACACATAATCATAGAACAAGCATACTAATTTTTAAAGTATTATTTAAACATGTTACAGCTTACTTATTTCTTGACTTACCCACATCTAATTTTGTAAAACCAAATACGTAAGAGGAAAAAATCACACATTGCATAATTCTGTGATAATCTCAAGCGTACATATGAGGTACACATTGATACAACATTAACACTTTCTATCAACGACTACATTTACTTGGCTTAATATAGCCTTTGATCTAAAGTAACACACAGCATAGAGCGTTGTTTTCAGTTTGATCACGCTATGTGTTGTACGGTTATTGAAATACAGTAATAAATGATACATATTATTTCGCAACCCTGATTTTGAGACATTCTAAACCCTGCAAGCATAATGTTCTGAAGTTTACTGAATATATATATGAACGTTATTACAATCTAAACAGCTTATTTAATGTATGCTCGAAAGACCTATTCGTCAGTTTACTAAGACTGTAATCATATGCTAGTCGTTTTTACTTGGTCATTGTGAAATGGTATTTCATATGCATTACCTTGCTAATATGTATCATTCACAAACTTTGGAGTCAAACTTGATTTGAACTATACAGAAGCTCATAGAGAACCGTTAGACTGGGTAGTTCATACTATTTACACCTAGCTACGCAATGTCTTGAACAATTCTCATTTATAGGCGACTTAATCATTAATGTAAGACTATTATGATCAGATCATAAATTTACAAAACACACTAACAATTTTATAATAACTCCAGAAGCACGCATTAAAAAACATGACTGGTATCAAAGTCATTAAAACTCTCCAGGTCAAGAGCAGCAGCTTCAAGAGCAGCTTTGCAGTCGACCCACGGCTGGTTACCCGTTTCTTGTACCGCTATCTGCTGGTCAAATCCAGCGCCTGAAGGACTTGCAGGTAGAGTCAGCACTGATGAGTAGAGGGTGCTAGAATTATCGCCGAGGTGACTAGGGTTAGATGAAGATGAGGACGGCAACGAAAAGTTGAGCAAAGATGGCGTCAGACAAAGAAGGTCGTTTTGAGTTTGCTGGAAGCCAGACCACCAATCGGAAGAAAGGAGATTTGCACCCTGATCGGGAAACTGTAGGGTGTCTGTTGCAGAAGAAGACGATAGATCTAAGTCATTGGGAAGGGGTGAGTCGTTTGTATCGGTAGGAAAGAAATCATGTTCCAGAAGGAGAGGAGAAGGAGACATCAATGTGTTAGACTGACTTCCGGTTGTCGCCTCTTCTGAAGATTGAAGCTTCTGAAGTGCTTCCAATTCGGTGTATGGGTAGTTCAAAAGAACATTTAAATTATCTTGCAGACCATCCTCTAAACTGTAAAACTCTTCTTTTTCCTGGTTATGAGGAACAATACTGATAGAATTACTGTCTGAAACAACGGGGTCATCCGGTATAGTGAGGGTATAGTTGATTGTTTCCATGTTTAAAACCGAAGAAAGCTTCTTTGGGGCTACATCTGTTAAACGTCCTAAGCTGTCAACAATACTATGAAGCTCTCCATTCATACAAGCATTCGACCCTGCTGATCCTGGAGGGGTGTCCTGAATGATGTCTGATACCAACTGATTTCTGTTCTCAATTGGAATTTTTGTGTTTCTCTCTTTTCGAATCTTTTTTGGAAATCCACTATTAGGCTGCTTTTGTGCAGGACGACGTTTTTTGAAGACGCCATCGACCAGTGATTTGGCGTAATTAGGATCCAATTTCCAAAATCCTCCTTTACCTGGTTCATCTTTACTCCGAGGAACTTTGATAAAACTTTTGTTCAGTGAAAGATTATGACGAATGGAATTCTGAAAATATAAAAGCATAACAAAATGAATTTTTTAAACTTCGCAAACATCTTAAAATGCACTCACTGCCAAGAAAACATTAACTGTTTTAAAATTAAATACCCAATTTACAACTCATGATCTTGGATTATGTCCATACAAAGTTGTAACTTAATATTGCGAGCTGCTTTTCTGTTAATATAAACGATCGTTTTGCTGGTAACATAACATATACGGACAACAAGGGACTATTTGATCCTTCAAGGTTCTCCTCCCACATCCACCCTTGAGAAAAGTAAAAACTTAAACCCACCCTTTATTTTTAAGAAAATCATCGATTTCCCTCTTAAACTCCCGAAAATATCTGGCTTCCACTACTGCCAATGTCAACTCATTCCATAGGTCTTCAGTAACAATATGTACACAAAAACCTGGAAAGATAAGATTCTGGCATTGTTTCCATCTTATACCAGCAAGGTCAAACAGTAAAAAAAATTAAACTTTAGGGTTACATTGTTAAAAATGGGGTTAACTTGTAGAAGTATGGTAGATGATAAAATTTAAGGGAACTTGTATAAATACTACTAGCTTACATATTTGTATTTATATGTTACACGGCATTTGTTTTTCACACTTATGACGATGACTTGAACGACGTCGAAACATGTAGAGTGCTTTTTTCACGACCGTTGATCGGTTTTTAAATAAACTTTTAATTGTATATTATACAACGTTGATCGTTGACTATTTTAATATTTTTAGGAATGGTAAATGGCTCTATTATTGGTTGATTATCCTTCGTAATTCTTGTGATTATTAAACGCCTTATTCAGTTGACAGCAGATAAGAAATATACAAATCTTGATATTGGTTTTGCTACCAGTTATTTTAAATTATGTAGTAGCGTTGTAGAATGGAAATACTGTGTATTAAAATTGTGAGCTAAGTTGTAAATTTTTAGATAATTAGAATAACTCCAAAATCAGTTATTTGCCATACTTGAAATTTAAATCTACGGGATTCTTTAATTCTAAAGTATTTGAATACATATGTTAAAAAAATAAATAAATTAGGATACTGCTATTGCACTCAGCCATGACTACAGAAAACATTAAAAACATAGCCGTTTCGGCATCTAATACCGTGCATAATTATTTAACAGTTACTGGTAAATACTAGGTTGATTTACTAATCTATAAACTTAGTCTCATAAATTAAGACTAACAAGCTAGCTTTACGATATTGAAACACAATAGATCAAAAACTATACTTATGTTTTAATTAACTGTAGCGATTATTCACTAGTTATTTGCCCCCCTCTTTTCACAAAGGTATGACTTTTTTATACAATGAAAAAGTAAAATAATTAATAGAAAATGTATGGACTTCTTACAATAAAGTGTAAATAGCGAAATCTAACAGTGCAGTGTTAACACCATCAAAACTAATAAAATATTATAGAAATATATATTAAGCTTCATACATCTTTTTGAATATGCTAGTGTTGTAAAGATGAAATATTGATTAGCGCTTTAAGATCATTACTTAACTATTTAAGTAATGTAGAATGACTTGCTCGGTTTGATTTGGTTTGTTTTCAATTTCACGCAAAGCTACACGCGGACTATCTGCGCAGGCCGTCCTAATTTAGCAGTGAAAGACTAGAGGGAATGCAGCTAGTCATCACCGCCCACCGCCAACACTTGGGATACTCTTTTACAAAGAAATAGTGGAATTGATCGTCACATTATAACGCCCCCCAAGGCTGAAAGGGCCAGCATGTTTGGTGAGACGGGGATTTGAACCCGCGACCCTCAGATTGCGAGTCAAGCGCCCTAACCACCTGGCGCAATCTAATAACCAAATAAAGATATAATCATATCCTGTAGTACTGAATATCACATAGAGAAAATATAATTATATCCTTAGTACTAAATATCACATAGAGATATAATCGTACCCTTTAATACTGAATGTTATTTCATCAATCTTTAAATAACCAACAAGGTTTTGGGTGAAAATCTGATTGATTATCAGGCAATTTTATTGGCCCAATTATTTTCTTGTTAAGTAAAAGATCAATTTGATGTTGGAATGATGATAAGCAACAGGCTCACATATAAACAAAGATGCTACAAACTACTTCTTCTCACAAAATGATTTTAAAACAATTAGGATATATTAAGTACTCCAATACACATTGTGGTTTACCAGACATTATTTGAAGACCCAATATACTAAAGTCGATTTGCCTTTTTCTAATAACTTTTTGAAATGAAGTTTTAGCATAATCTCCCTGACGACAACAACATTTCTGATAAACATATCATGCAAAAAATGTCAAAGAAAGATAGAGGACAGAGTAGTACTAACAGAATAATTTTTTTTCAAGATAAAAACGTATTGAGAAACATATAGGTGCATTATATTTAACAAATTATGATATTCTGTGAATTTTCCTTTTAAGTACATACAACTGAACTTCAAGTTTACTGACTTCATGAAACATATAAATCTTATTATGCTTTTTTTAGAAAAAATCACTAGAAAACATTTTTTTAGTTAAACTAAAAAAAAATTTCGACTCTAAATTTACAGAACTTTCTTTTACTAACAAATAAAGTCACTTAATCATAGACTATCAATGCTTATATGTTTATATGTCAGGGTTCTGCATTGTACTGTGCTTAAATTCACCAGATTCATTCATATAAAAAAGACCACTATTTATTAAAAGTAAGTGCTCAGTTTAGTCCAGGGAGTCTGAAAGTTTGATTGTTGATCGAGAAGTGCGACATATGCTGACATTGTTAGAGAAAATTATATTCAAGTAAGTCATCTTTAGTTCTAGTTTTCGTTTTATACCCGATCGATATAGCAATTTGTACAGGTCTATAAAATCTCGCTAGGTGTATATATACATATATGTATGCACGTTTCAACTTGCCCGAAACATTATAACTATGTTTTATGTAGCATTACTTAAATTCATCTACCCAACACAATGAAGTGTAGCATTTATTTATGTATGTATAACCATTAAGTAATGGATTTTTACATTCATTTACATTTTGTTCCAGTGTGGGAACAAATAAAAACGAAAAAAAAAAGAGTTAAAAAAAAAACTACTGAATAAACGTTAAAAGCGAGAATACAGAAACATGTATATAGACATATATCGCGATAATAACCACTTTTGAGAAATTCGGACCACGGACAAATCAATAATGAAAAAGATGGAAGGCTTTGAAAAAAAGTATCTATTGTTTGCAAATGTCGTTCTTATACACAGATAGAGCACTTACAAACCAGGTTTCATTGTGCTCACACAGTTATTAAATAGCGCCGTAAAAACTAGACTTTTAGCACAACACGAATTGATAAGCAAATTAAAAAATAGATAGCATTTGATCAATAAATACAAATCTGAAAACATAATAAAAAACTACAGTTTATAATATTAGAAACAAGTATTAAAGTACATTTAATTGTGACTTGTTGGTAACAATGATTAAAGACACTTTTGAAAGTTTGACCTCCTTACTTCTGAGTTGAAATACAAATAACTTATACCACAATACACTTTAAAGAAGATTTACGTATTTTATATTTACTTTAGTCTTTTAGTCACCAAACCTGTACCCTTACCCCCCCCCCCCGTATTTGGATTTGAGCCTCCTATATCATCCGCGGGAACCCCCATTTCTTCCTAGGGCGTTGAATGGGTGAGCTGTGTTTCGAATATTTTACAGCTTATTCTAAGAGCTAAGAAATAATCAACCTGAACATCGTGTTAAGAAATATCAAAATGGAAGACTGACATGACTTAAAAGTACAGTTATCACCATATAACCTTTTGAGAAAAGAAAATATGTTAAATTAGTTTAAAAAACGATTTTAGATTGGCGACTATGAAACTTCTATGGCTTCTTAAAAATTTTGTTTCTTTACTGCTAAACTACTCGAAAGTTATCTGCCAGCCGTCCCTATTTTTGAAGAGATAGGGAAGGTAGCTAGCCAACACTATCAACCGCTAAGTCTTGGGCTAATTTTTACCAACGTATAGATGGATTAACCATCACATTATAACGCTCTCACGTCTGAAAGAGCGAGCATGTTCGATGATGGGTTCCGAACCCACGACTCGCAGATTGTGAGTCAACTGCGTTAAACACCAGGCCTAAAGAAATGTGTTGAAGACTACTCAAAATGTTGAATTACAAGACCCGAACTAAACACTGCATTCGTGTTATTTTACAACATGAATCAGATCTAAATTAATAAAGTCTAAATTCAAAACAGTCCTTTATTGTAGTTGTTAACATAGTGGTAGATCTAACATACTTGTTTTCGAAACAAAAGTAATGATAATAAATTAGTAAATAACAAATGAACATTTTCTTTGGGGAAAATATTTTGGAAATGACAAACGTTCATAGTTTTAAAAAGCAATAAAAATAAATAACCAATCTGTACTTGTAAACAAACTCTGCCACCGAAAGCTGTAAAGTGCTATCTATTTTTCACAATGAAAGAGCGTTACTAAAATACATGTTAAAACTATGACTATGCGATTCTACTGTGAGTAAGCTACAACCAGAAAGTTGTAAAGACATGTTATCTTCAAATATCACATTTGACTTGAATGTAAACTTACAGTATTGTTATTACTACATATGAGAAGAAAACAATTTTAATTCTAGTAACGTGTTGTTATGTACTAACAAATTCAGAAGATTGTGTGTATGTGTGGGTGTGTCTATCCAAGTTATCGAGTTCTATATTTAATAAAATACTTTATTTCAAACAGCAAAACTTTGGTTTGGTATAAGACAATAAATGCTATTGAAAGTTGGAATTATAACATATTATATAATAGACTATAAAAAAGGTGTTGGTCTTATGCATATGTATACATTTGTCCAGCTATTCTATATGCTCGAAACTTGAATCTTCTCTTACACAGACAGGCATGTTAATCACTAGAGTAAGACATGCCTATTTTATGATGTCACTCAGAA